AACACAATGATAATACTAAGTGTGCTATTTTATAAGCAAAAGCTATAAATATAAGTAAACTGCAGCAAATTAGGTTTGCCTGATGAAGGAGCATATCCAGGTAGGAAAGGAAAAGTCATGTGTTCCTGAAAAATGCAATAGTGACTTTCAGAATACTATTGCTCAGTATAAACTATGTCAACTAAAAAGAATAGCCTTCTCAAAACAGTGGTTCTGTCTGTCATAACTTGCAGCTCAATGCTCTTCGGGAAGAAAAATTAGCAAGGCAAACATTCACTGAGTCTGACTAATGAAGAGGTATTACAGTAAGAATATCTATTGTCAGCTAATATGATGCTTCCTAAAACAAAGACACTGAGTTCTCATCTGCTAGTGATTGTGCTGAGAAACGAATGCTAACACAACTATATGTTGATTTGTTACACGTATTTTCAGTTTAACTTAGTACTTTACAAACTTTTGGGCTGAGTACATGATTGAGATGGTATCTACATTTGCCAGAGTCCATAGCCAGAACTAAATCCAGTTTATTTGCTTTAATTCTGCTGTACATAAAGCATACTTCGTCACACAGATGCAAATAAACAATCCATTCTCAAGCCAAATTATATCTTTAGTACCTCCAGATGAGTTATAGACACATGCAAATCAGACAGAAGGAGATAAGAAAGAGCATATACCAGAGCAGTTACAAGAAGATGCATTAAGAACATTTTTGCACTAGTTTGCTGTTTGTTCTTGATTGAGACCTTCCAAAAACCAGCCCCTCTTGAGATGAGAAGTGCAGATTTGGCAGGTGGAGCAGTCTGCACCAACACCCTCCCGCCTAGACCCATCCATCTTGCACTGACAGCCCTGTACAAGATTAAAAGCAGGATTATGCACACTTTGTGGTGGGCCAGAAGAGTGAGATGCTGTAGGAAGTAATTCTGTCAATTCTGTAAATAAGCCCTTCTCTCTGACTAAGAATAAGCACATCTGTGGCATGGCTGCTTTGAATAGGAAATAGTGGTGGTCAGAATGAAATTCTAACACACTGTGTTCTCAAAAATACAGCTGTACTCTTCCCCTCTGCAAGTCAATTATAGTCTCATCAAATCATTTCCAAGTAAAAAAGCCCTGGCAAGGATGGTGCAGTCAAAGAGATTCCAGTATAGCTGGAATGTCTTTGGATGGAAAAATAAGAGATCAAACTGTTCTGCCTATCACCAGACCAGGGAATGGATAGTTAAAAAACCATCATGTATCAACATACTTGGGGTCACCTTTTAAAGATGTAAGATCTTGGTGCAGAGACTTTTCTCAGCAGAACAGATGTATTTACTTCTGGTGATAACACAGATTTTATCATCATGGCAAATGAAACAGACCCAATGGGTTTTTATTTATGTAAACGTAGTTCTCACAATAAATACATTCATCTTCACACCGAATTTAGGCAACAGAAACCAACATTAAGCACACACACGTGCATTACCATTCATATGCACACATTCTACTAAAAAACAAAATCAAGTGTATTTTAATCACATGCAAGGAGAATATGAAAAGGGAATTAAAGCAAGTCTTACTGCTTCTGCTTATTAAACTTCACTGGAATTTTAATGTGAAATATGCCTATCATACTGAGATATTGCCTGTGTGATGTTTTCAGAGAACAGCAACACTTCATCTCCTGGAACAGAATTCCATCCCTCCTTGTGGCACTGTAGGGTACACACTGAGATCCCATGGCTGCTCCCAAACATGCACATGCACCAACAAATGCTTCTAAATACTTGCATTATTTCCTGTCCACAAAGATTTAAATTATTTACAACTCCCGAACACACATACACGAGGACTCCTATGGGCACAAATAGTTACATCATCAGTAAGTGGTGACAAATCATGTGAAAGGTTAATATTTTAGTCATAAATGTTGGTACCAAGGGGAAGAGCTACAGACAGGAACATGTTCTTAATTAAGAATAAAAATGCAAATCTGGAAACCACTGAAAGATATTAATACCCTCTAAAGATTACAGAACAAATTTTTCAGGTAAAACAAAGCTGAATCTGAACGTGGCTTAATGAAGCAGATCATAGCAAAATAGGGCAAAATGAACAATGATAGAGACATGGACAATGAGTATAAACGGCTAAATTTCAAACAGCACTGTTTTAAAAACTGCATCTCTTCTGTGATAAAGAATAATGCTTCAGAGCAGGCATTAAGTTTTGAGAAAATGCTGTAGAGCTGCATGTTCCCAAAAATACAAAAATACATTTTTAAAAAATCCTCTTACAAAAGCTAGGCAAAGTGGACTGATGTTCATTTAGCTTTTGCAAGTTGAAAACCTAAACATTAAGAACAGCAGGGAGATCCTCTGTCTTGACTGAGGGGTATAATCTATGCTATAGGAGGACATAATCACCACAAGGATGTCTTTAGACCAACTGCACAGTTTACAAACAAAAGGAGGCTAAAATAAGGCTGCCAAAGAGCAAACTAGGACGTTATAACAAGAATTGACACGATTAATTAACTGAATTAAACTTATAAGAATGGGAAAGCTGAGATCTGTCATTTTTGAGAATGAATGCTAGGGACCAGCTTGCTTGTCATTGTAGCAAATGCTGCTCAGTAAAAGATCTGAGAAAGAGACAGAGAAGGAAGAACCTACATTAAATCTCAGAATTGTGAAGGCTACATTTATGTCTTTGAAGAGCCCAAATTTAGACTGTAGTAAGCATGCCCCATAGTATTAAAAATTGTGGAAAGACGAATAAATACTGAAACCCAAAATAAGTAATTCTCAATTTTCTCCTGCTCCTTTCTCTCTCCATTTTAATAAAGCCAAAGCAAAAATTTACATATGACAGGAGTCAAATGAAGATGTTATCATATTCATCTACCTATAAATGAGAGACTGATTACTGTACTGTGGCTTTGAAAATCATAGAAGAAATACTGTAAAGCAGAAGTATAGCAGATTAGAACAAAGATCAGGCATCTCTCATGACAGTAAGCATAGAAGGAATTTAGAGATCACCAAATTATAGAATATGCTGAGTTGGCAGGGACCCAGTCATTATTGAGTCCAATTCTTGGCCCCACACAAAACATCCCAAGAGTCACACCACATGCCCAAGAGCATTGTCCAAACACTTCTTGAACTCTGTCAGGTTGGTGCTGTGACCACTGCTCAGCGGAGCCTTCTCAGTGCTCAACAACCCTGGGAGTGAAAAACCTTTTCCTGATGTCCTCCTCCGACTTAGAAAGCCATGAAACCTGTGAATCTGTACTTTTAATAAGCCTCCTGCATTTTTATTTTTCAGATTTCTACATGTCATAGCCATGCAGTACCCATCACACTGTGCAGTCTCGAATAACACTGCACCCTGCGGTTTCCTATCTTATCTCTGTAAACGTGTAACAGCACAAAACTTCTGAACCATCATTGTACAACCATTACTAGTTACACTTAAATTATGTTTCTTGCCTTGCTGATGAGAACATCACTCAAGGCAGGGCCAGATGTTTTACTAGAGAAACAGGATGTTGTTTGTCTTCTATCTCCTCTTAAAAGAAGGCATTATATTGGATGGATTTGATAATTCTTTTACAAATCTACATGTTCTCTGTTCTCAATTAAAATTGCTCTTATTTCCCACAGGTAATGCAACATACAAACAAAGCTGCTAAATGGCCTATAATCTCTCAATTCCCCCATATGATTGCCTTTTGTTTTCTGCTTTTTACAGTTCCCTCATGCTTCTGGGTGAGTTCATGATTGAACCACAGCTGATCTCTTATTTTCCTCCCTAGGAAAAATGAGGACACAATTCCTTTAAGAAACTATCAACTTTCTTAAATTCTTTTCCCTCTTAGGGAAGTTTTAATGTCTACATTTTTTACTCTGCACATGGAAAAAGGTCCTGTATCAGCTCATGTTTAAAAACTTGGATAAAACAAGATAGCTTTTGAAAACATTGTCAAGATACTTTTCACCATTTTCTTTTTAAATAATGTGGCTTGAAGACACTGATCTTCCTCTGTTGTCAGCAATCACTTCCATTTTGAGTAGGATGTTGGACCAGACAACCGCCTGAGGTTCCCCTTACAGCTTGAATTATCTTACGATATCATGAACTAAGAATCTATTTCATCAAGGTCAAGCATGCCAATGGAGAATATTTTTTTTAATTAGAAATTTTTCACTTTCATTTTAGCATCTTTTACTTCTCTACCTAAGCTTCTGTGCAACATAAACGAAAAACCCTGCTACAAAACAGGTGGTCTTTTGTAAGATTCCTGGGTTAAAATTAAACTACAAACATGATCCCAATATAAACAGGGAAGAAGCAAAAAATACTGTCTTACTCCTTCAAAAGTGTCACCTAAATTACAGTTCCACACTAGTCACTGTGAAGAAAACTCTCCAGCCAAAACCAGCACACACAGTTATGTGGGCTTTTTAAAATGGAGAATAGTATTTGCCTGTTGAAATAAAAAAGCACACCAAGGGCTTAAATAAAGTACCAAAAAATTTAGTGGGTAATAATGAAGTAACGCAAAGAATTCTGCTGCACAACACTTTTGAGCAATCTGACACACTTGAAATTAATTGGGAGGATGTTTTTATAAACAAATCTTCTTCAGTTAAATTGTATCTGTTAGGCATTTCAGCTTGACCATTCACAGATTCCTACCTTTTTTGACACAACTTGGTTATCCAGCTTTGGAAACACTATATACACTACATTATTGCTAAAATCACATTGGTTTTCTGATAAATAAAGTAAAAATTGTTTCCAAAGGGGCTCTAAGACTGGAATAAATGTGCTTCTTCAAAAACAAGAACAGAAAAACCCAAACCAAACAAAACCAAACAAAACAAAACCCCAGACCAAAACAAAGCAAAAATTAAAAAAAAAAAAAAACAACGAACCAAAAAAACCTAATCCTCTTCCAATACTTAAAAGCAGACTTAAATATAAATGCAAAATGCACTTACAGTGTTGGCAAGTTCTAGGTAGCTTCCTCCAACAGAGTTGCTACAATTTAAGGCCTGGGCTAGAAGTCTTTGCAGAGGAGCCTGTTGAGTCACATTGCTTCCACCATACTCCAACACCTTTTGTAGAGGAAAATTACTCTGGAGGTCAGGACTCTGAAGATCTCTCGCTCCTGAATCATACTCCCAGCTCTCTCTGGCTCCTGATAAGGCACCTAAAATGGAGAAAAAGAAAAACTTTCTAGTATGGACTCTGCATAAAGAAAACACAAAATCTCTCAAGTTGGAAGGCACCTACGAGGATCACTGAGTTCAACACTGCTCCTCACAGTACTGTCTAAACCTAAACCACACGACCAAGAGCATCATTCAGGTGCTCCTTGAATTCTGCCAGGCTTGGTACCGCAGCCACTTCCCTAGGAAGCCTGTTCCAGTAATCAGCCATCATTCCAGAGGAACCTTTCCTTAACATCCAGTCTGAATTTTCCCTGATGCAGCTTCATCGCCTTTCCTCATGTCCTGTCACTGCTCACCAGAGAGAAGAAATCAGCATCTCTGGAGTCACCCCACAGCCTTCTCCAAGCTGAGCAAACCCAGCGACCTCAGCTGCTCCTTGAGCTCTTTCACCATCTTCATCTACCTCCTCTAGATGCACTCCCATAGTTCGGTGCCTTTCACATATTGAGAAAATACCCAAAAAACGCACACAAGTACTCCAGGTGGGGCAGTGACAACAGGTTAGGACCACCACCTCCTTTGGGTGTCTGATGATGGTGATACAGCCCAGAACACAGCCCTTCTGGCTGCCAGGGCATGCTGCTGACACAGGAATAACCCTGGCCAGCAGTCCAGAAAGAAAAAAAGCAAAACTCCACCACCATTACTGACCATCTTGCATATGCTTATAATATCAGGGGAAAAATGCAGTAAAATTCCCAGTGCGTAAGTGAATTACTAAATTACAAGATTCAGAAGGAAAACGAAAAGCATTTGCATATGTTATTTAGAGCACTGCAAACCAGTGTAGTTTACAACAGCTAAGGACCACGAAATGAGTACCAGTAACCTATGTCAAACTGAGAAGCAGCAGAGATCAAAGAGCAAAAAAGGATGCTGGGGGTTGGGTTTTCTTTCCTTTTCCTTCCTTATTACCTGGGGAATTTTTTCCCATTGAGTTGCTTAAGAAGCAGATGGCTGGGTGCTTGAAAAATCGGGGAAGGGGAATTCCTCTGTTTTTTTGGGAGTTTCTCTCAGAGGTACAGAGACACAGGGATCAGAAGCAGGTGAAAGGAGAAAAGGAGGTAAAAGGAGAGCAGGGGGGGCAGTTGCTGCTCTCGCTCGCTCTTGGCTCTGGAGCAGGAGGGTCACTGCACCCACCGCCACAGCCCAGCCGGGAGCTGCCTCTTCTGCTGCTGCTGGACCCCGCAGCCCTGCCCTGCCAGGCCGCCCCGCCATTCCAGCTTGCTGCTTCCAAGGATCCTGCTGGAGCAGCGGGGCCGGCCCCGCCGCAGGGCTGCTGAAGCAAAGCCTCTCTTTTCCATCCCTTCCCGTCTGGGCCCAGCCGCCATTACCGCCTGCTCCCCGAGCCCGCGCCACAGCGCCCCCTGCCGGCGCGCGGGGATCAGCGCACCTGCCCCGCCCACCGGGAGCCAGCGGCGCCCCCTGCCGGCGATGACGGGAACTGCAGCAAGGGGAAAGTGCCCGCGGCCGAGAGGGCTGAGCTGGGCTCCTGTTCTGGTTGGTGTCAGTGACACCGCTGGTGCTGTCTGGGTGCCTTGCTGTACCCACCAGCAAAGAGCTGCTGTTCCTATCCCCGTGTCTCTGCCTGACAGCCCCTGAATTTCAAATTATAATTCAGAATTCAGTAATTCAGAAAGAAAGGGTTTACAATCTCCAATCCAAGGGAAGATCCTGCCTTCCCTAGCAGAGAATCGTCTTTCACACCGAAACAGAGGGAAAATATAATTCCTTTCACTTTTTGTCTACTGAATGCCGACAAATAAGTTTATCTTCTAGCTGTATAGTCACTTTTCATGTTACCACTGCCTGTTTTATTATCTCAGGCTTGCTTGTTTCAATTCCAAGTTATAGACACATCCATCACAAGGTGTTTCATTACAAATCAATGCGAGGGTATGATCTTGTGGCAAGTGACAAACAATGACTGCTTTGAGAAAGTTTCTGTATTATGAAGCTGTAGGGTTCCTGTTTCTCCATGAACAATCCTTCCAATTCCCTATGCAGAGATGGGTTTAGACCATAAAACAAGTAGAAGAAAAATTTCTAATTTTGTCAGTAATTATTTCAACCCTGGTTGCTTCTGATTCCTTTACAAATGTCCCACTCCTATTAAAATCTTGTTAAGTTTTACATTCAACCACTTCCTATAGCAAAACAATCCAGAGCAGGCACTAGATTATTTAATAACCCTGGGCAGTAATGTAAAATTTCATCTACAGTATAATGAAAATTAAAAACAAATAAATGACTTGTCTAAGCATACACTCTGGTTAATAGACAAGTCTGAATAGAATCCAGAGCTACAGACTAGATCAAAACTCTAAATCAAACATGCAATTATCAAACCATAAGTAGTTACCTGTAATGACATCCTATTATTTTGAAAGCTTTTCCTTTGAGTTTGCTCACTCAAATATTAATCAGCATTCTAAGGCAGCTTACTAATCAGTGGTTATTACTTATTCAGTACATTACCAGGCAATACCAACAAACTACATAATGGACTATTAGGACAATGTCTCCCCCTCACCAAGAAAAGTTTGAGATGCAAAAGTACAAGTGGAAAACCAGCCAGGAGGGCTGTAAGGCAGCAAACTCATTTGTTGTTTGAGGTCAACACCCTAATACTCTGTAAAGCTGTTATGCATGAAAAGCACAGTTAGGAAACCTGCAGTTGGTTACCCCATCTTTCTGCAATGCAAATATTCTAGTCTTGAAACATCTAAGTAGAAAATAACACATAATAATTACATTTTATACTAATGTAATTACCATGATTCCTTACCACCAGTAGAGGGAGATTAATTAAAGATTAATTCAATGACTTTCACACCGAGAACATGCACCACTGTACTTCATCGAGCTACGTGCTGCAAGCTTTCCAACAGACTTGTACTGAGACACTGGCACCAGCGATGTTTTACAGAGCAGGCAGGGCACTGTGACTGTGCACAACGTTGGGTGTCTCCGCCCTCGTGTGGCTACAGAACATCACAGAGCAAAAAAAAAAAAAAAAATCAGCAGCTCACAGACCTGAAGCCATTGAAATGTCTCAGGCGTCCGAGGGAGGCAGGGGATCGGTTCTGCCACTTCCCAGGCCTGCCAGGAGAATGGGAAACAACCCCTCTGGGCAAGCAGAGCCACAGAATTAGGAGAGCTGGTTGTATCACACAGGTACACCTCTTCCCACAGAGCTAAATATGGCACATGTTTCTACAGAGAATGTGCACTATATCACTCAAAAATCATTATTCTGCAAAAGAGCTTCTATATTCATGCAATTAAAAACAGCAGCTCTGCTGAAGGACCCAGCCTTCATATATTGTAGCATCTGTTATCAGACTGAACACATAGGTGGATCAGGAAACACTGGGGTTTTACTACTGTATTATGACTGTATCTGTAACCCAAGTTTTCTTGAAAGTTCATGTCAATACTCCTAATTTAAAATATACATATTAAAAATGGAAGGGGAGATGAGTGGAAGGCATTTCCAATATTTTAGTTTGGCCTTAACCCTAATCCCTAAATTTGCCCACTGTTTTCCAAACAGATTCAAGAACTATGGCTGTTAAGATGCTGTCCTGGATCATGCACCTCTCAAATCTCAGCTTTGCAGGGAAACTCTGGAGTCAAAACTGAGATTTCACTTGTAACTGAAAATTCAGCCAGGAATTAACAGACAACTCTTGTACCTTGCTGTAATTAAAATACAATTCCTTCTCTTCCAATATTAATCAGAAATAAGGAAACATTAGGTATGGTGGCTGATAGCCAACCTGGTAAGTAAGAACCTACAGTTAATAAATCTGTGTTTAATATCAGTCTTTGCAGAACAACATACATCCCATGGTAGCTTTTCCCTGTTCAGCTGCAATTAGAATAACACGAAGTATGGAATTTCTGTATTAAGTGAAACAAAATTATCATGAAAATTCCCAGGTAATAAGCCTGCTGGGAAGTTGGTGTTACTACAATGATTAGACAAAAACAAAACATAAATAAATAAATTCATTGCACAATATTTGCATTAGACAAGTAATATAAGAGCACATAATTGTTTCCAAATTATGTAAGTAACACTTTAATCCCAGAGTAATAAAGTTAAAACAACACCTTCTGGAGTGAGTGAATACACAGCATATTAAAGAATAACAAAGGACAGTTTAGTTTGATGGCACATGAAAACTTCCATAATGACATAAAATTTCAGTTTGTGAATTGTACCAAAGCTCTTTAAAACAACTATGATCAATTCACTTGACACATGCTACTCTGAATAGTGTACCCTGCCCACCTGCTCTGAGAATTCTTGCTATCTAAATCTTGCTTTATGACCTCAAAGCTCTCTGGTCTGTGTTCTGGTACTGGTGCCACCCTGCCACTCTGATCTGAAAGAAAATGGCATTTCATTTTATATTCCAGCAGTTAACCTTTTGCCCAGAATGCCTGTATACTGCAACAAAGAAACACATGACTACCAAAAATAAAAATCTGCCCATACAGCCAGGATTTTTGGTTTAGTAAAGGCTAATTTTACCAAGCTATGCTGGTGAACCAAGCATTATGTGATTTCTTCATTGCTCACAGAGTAGAAAAAATAAACAACCAGCATGGTAGGACACTGAATATGTATTTGTTTCCGAAAGGAACTGGAGCATCAGGAAAAGTCAGGCATTGTAAAATTGGCCCTGCAGCAAATATGAAATGAGTCTGACTTGTGAATGGCAAACATGAAGACAACTGACAATATAAGTGCACAACTTGCTCCGTGGTTCACACAGCTTCACCTCAACCAGTAAAGAGTCTGACCACTGTTTTACAGGAGGTAGCCATGACATTTAGCAACTTAGACTTATATGCATTATATTACCAGAAGAAGGACTATTTTTCAGTATTTTTTTTCTCATCTTTCATTCAACAGTTAAATTGTGATAAACTATCACAAAGAGTTGAAAATTTGATTTATTATTAT